AATTTTGATAACAAAATAATATTTTTATAACAATATTTTAATTGAATAGCTTAACCCTAACAATGAATAGAAATAGGATTTGATTATAAGTTGCTATTATTAGAATTTTAATTTATTGGGTGACTGAAATGAGAAATGATTTGCATAAATCAAGGACAATAATTAAACACGTTCTGAGTTTAATATGAGGAGAGATACGTAGTTACGGAATGGGTAAATTCATGATTTAAGTGTGCGAATTGATGGAATTAACACTTTCGTCACGTCAAGTATATTAAGCAAATAGTGATTTTGCGACGACGTGATTCGGAAACTTACATTTTTAAGGGTGAAAATATCTTTAATGTCCCTCTATTATAGGGACCATACTAAATTTAGTTCCGATTATATTTATTTGAATCAATTTGATCCCTTTATTCTAGTGATTGGTTCAAAGTTATCTCTCTACTATTAAATGGATTAATTTACTACATCTACTAGTAAAAACAATTAAAAAAAAAGCGAAATTTTATCTCCAAACTATGACTCGCATCCTAAATTAATTCCAAAAACTTTTAAACATTCCAAATTCATCCTCAAACTATGACACTTGATCTAAATTGATCCTTAAACTTTTGAACATTTCAATAGCATCCCCTGAAACCATTCAATAGTCTGAAGATGAAATTGGAACATTCAAAACTTTTGGGACTAGTATCAAATGAGGGTCATAATTTGGGATGAATTTGGAACGCTCAAAAGTTTAGAGACTAATTCACAATGAAAGTAATAGTTTGAGATAGATATTAAACTATTCTAAAAATTAAAGACTAATTTAAGGCGAGGGTTATAATTTAAGGACGTGTAACGTAATTAACTTCGTATTTTAATGTTTACTATTTAGAAAATAACACCAACATTATTGTTCAACTTCAAAAAGATAAAATATGTATAATATGACGACTATTATGAACCAATCTATATAATAGAGAGGCTAAATTAATGTGTTTAATAATATAGATTAAATTAATATGATCCCTATTACAAAGGGACCAGTCACATACTCACATGCTTTGACCCATTTTATAAGGGTTATGCTAATACCATGCACAATTGCCATGTTTTGTTCAATGTAGACAGAATACGCAATACTTTTTTTTAGGGATATGACCAGCTTGGCAATTGTTTGCATGCAGTTTTATATTGAAAATCACATTTTAGTACGTATTTAATCCTATTATATCACCTATGAAAGTTTTTTTTCTTCTTTCCAATTCCAAGGTTTCGTCCTGATTAATTCGAACCGACCCGCATCGTACATTTGGTTTTGGTGGACGAGTCTCTCAGTGGAGATTTTTTTACATACACAAGAACTCGAACATGAAACATTGCTTAAACGATATCAAGTTATTTAACACTTGAAACAATCCGTCCATCCATGAAAGTAAATTTGATCTTGAGATCAAGTGATCTTGAATGCATCCATTAAAATATTATAAGAAGTTGTCTAATTTGTAGGTGGTGTAAATTTTAGCTTATATTTGTATGTTTACTTTAATGTTATATGTCTTATTCAAGGTGTAGAATATAGAGATTAAAAATTTAAGTTTTAGGGTTTAGGGTATATATATATATATGATTTACACGTGGACACGTGTGTGAATGTCCATTGATAGCAACTGTATATCTACTTTTCAAAAGAGTTGTTTTAATGTGTAAAAGAGTGAAAAAGAGTTTTATTTTCGGTTTTTATCTTTTTAATTTCAATCGTCTATTTTTATTTATTTAACGGTATTTATCTATGTAAAACTAAAGAGTTTTATATTTTGTATGTGAATCCTAACATATATATATATATATATATAAATTTACTAGGATGGTTATAAGTAGTAGCATTTATTATAGACTCGATCATTTGATAATGAATGTTCAATTTCTTTTCTAAAGGTTGTCAAAACATTTCTAGAAGGGTGTCATTTTTTCTTTTATATTATATATTAAATATTTAATATGGGTAAAAATGAAAATTTTGAAACTTTTAAGGTGTAAGCTGACACCTCTTAATATAGCTCGGTTCAGTTAATGTCTTTAACCACCGAAATCATTTGATTCGTGAATTATAAACATGATCAAATGGTGAAGTAGCTGATATACTGTAGCCACCAAATTTGAAGTTCCATTGAGAATCAACACTTGCCACCAAAATTGAAAATTTCGATGAGATTCAATAATTCTAGCTATCCAGTCTCCAAAGTCGTCTTCCTTATACCCTAATGTCAACCAAACCACACAAACTTTTTGGAAACTGAGGTTTGGGTGTACGTTTATGTCTATTCGTCATTAAACTTTGGTGGGTTCATGTTTTCTGGTTAGGGGTGAATAAAAGAGCACATGCACTTCCCTCACTGAACATTCAAAGGACACCCTTTGGATAGGGTCATGTGAATTTCATCACTTATGGATCAAACTAAGTCATGGGTCACATCTCAAACCTATTTAAAGTATATTTTAAAAACAAAACATTTATATTATAGGTGTAATAACGAAATTGACCCCAATGTTTGTATGAAAGATCATTTTGGTATTTATTTTTTTGGTATATATTATTTTTACACGTGTTTAATTACTGATGTGGTATGTGCCACATCATCTAATATGATGATGTGACGAATATCATGTTATAAAAAATGATTATATGATATGTTTCATGTCACCTAAAATGATAATATAATATGTGTCACGTTACCCAAACCAATGGCAACTATAACGATGATATAACATGTGTAGCGTCACCTAAACTAATGTCACCTATAATGATTATATGATATGTATCATGTCATCAAAAAAAAAAGATGATATGACATATATCACATCACTCAAACTAATATTATCTATAGTAATGATACAACAATATTCTAAAAAATATGAGTTAAAATGATCATTTATTGAAGATAATTTTATTATTACACTTGTATAATAATCTATCAATATGATACTTAATTCTCTAGACCTAAAATATATTTTAATTACTGAATATTCTTTTATTTATATTTTCGTTTTTCCGTTTTAAAATTTTTGCAACACTTTCTATTTATTATTAAGAACAAATGTAATATTTTATATTAAGGAGTAAATTTATAATATTTTAAAGTGAAACGAATTATAAAATTTCATATAAAAATAAATTATTAATAATAAATATAAAAAAATAAAATATATATGAATTTAAAAAATCTAGAGAGAGAGAGTGATCGCTCACTGTCGCTCTCTTCTATTTATTCCTGTTTATAATATTAATTATTTTCGACCTACAACTACTAACCATTTACACCGACTATTTCGTTGATTAATCGTCGTATAAAATTCAACAACAAATAGTTAATAGTAATCATAATTATATTGAATATTGCAGTAGTTGAGATGAATAGGACTAAAAGCAATGAAATAGTTCTGTATGTGATCACATTATTTGTTTTAGTACCAAAAAAACAGGTTAAATTGAATTATATTTTAAATAAAAAGCGGGTTTTTTATTAATACGAAGCAAGTTAATATTTATTTAAAGATAATCTTAAATCATTTGATATTATATGATTACAGTCATAACATTTATAGTACTAGAATCCATAACCTTAAAAACAATAATCTTTTTATTACCGGAGTAGGTCGATTCCTACTAAATATAAAAACGAGTTAGGTCAAAGGCACCACACAAATTTGTTCTATTTGTTCTATTGATTTAAATGAAGAACAATTTAATATCACTTATGTATGGTTTTGGGTTTGAGTTTTTGTGCATGAAAAAAAAATATCCGCCGCTAAAACCATGTGTGTGATGGAGTCAGTCTAGATAATTATTTTATATTGGACGCAAAACAACATTGACTTTAATTGTTTTGGAAAATAATAAAATAAATATATGATCTATGAGTGCAGTAATAATAAATATCATATAAAGAATGGATAATGATTCACGTTATGTAACAAATGAATAAATAAACCAAAAAAAAACAGAACGGGATAATAAAATAAATAAACACACAATAAAAAATTATCTATTAAAATAATTTCATTATATAATATATATATATATATATATATATATATATATATATATAGGATATTTAAAATTAAACATGTTTAATTATCTAAAAAATAGAATACAAACAAATATCGAATAATAATAAAATGTCAACTTTATTCGGATAACCCTCGAAAGGGGGCTTCAAATTTTTGAAGGTCTTCCATAGGTTAATCGAACAATTAAAGATTTTAAAATATTAAACAAACACTTATATTAAAAATAGAATGCATAGGTAACAAATAATAAGGAAAATGCTACATTAAATAATATATATGTTTATTTATTTATAAAATACAAGGGTAATAATAAAAAGTATGGAGATTAAATCGAGACAGATAAAAATATGGATTAAATATAGGAATACGAGGACTAAGGCACAACGATAAAAAGTGCATGGAGTAAATGTAAAAATCAATGACTTAAAATGAAGACTAAATAAATTTAAATTATAGGGACTAGAAGCATGAATAAACCATAGGATAACCTCTATTGAACTAAAAAGAATTAAAACAAACAAGAGTTTAAATTTAATTAAAATGTAAACCATGCGTTTATCATCTCCAACCATATTCGAAATATTAAAATGAAAACAACATTGATTATATAAAAAGAAATTAAAAAATGGCAGGAATATAACAACAACCAAATTGAGACTAAAATATAAACATGTAAAATTGTAAGCCAAATAAAAAATATATAAAATGAAATAAAAGGTTATTAGGACTAAAATGAATATATAGAAAAACTAAGAGACCAAATCAAGAAGTCAAAGAACCTCGATTAGAGAACCATATTGCATTAAATCAAAATAAGTTGGAGCTATTACAGAATAATCCCACAAAATCCTAAACCCGATTGCCCTAATTCACCTAACTACGTCGTTTTGGGCAAGATTTATATACCCTTTTATAGTATTTGAGAAATCCCTATCCCTCATTTGATTCTCACGACGTCTCTCTTCTCTTACCCATCTCTCTCCTTTTTTTACGCTCAAAAGGAAAAGAGAAATCCTCCCTTCTCACGGCCACCGCGTGGTGGCTCCGCCGATGAGGTAAGATCACTCCTAGTTATCTTCTCTATTTCTTTTTCTTTTTCGATTTCTTCTTTGAATAGCCCCCCTCTTTTTTTTTTACTCGAACCTCCTCCACGTTGATTTTTTATCCCAATTTATTCTTCTCCTCTCTGTCCTTTTGCTTGCGTGTTTGGTAAAGCAAAGATGGACACAGCAGAGGGTAAGTTATGGGTATGGAATTTACAGAGGGTAAGTTTTTTTTGTTCTTATTTTAATAAATTTAATTTGATTTGGTTGGTTTGTTTTTACTATTTTGCAGATTTGATGATGAGAGAGAGTAGTTAAAATAGTGGGGAGCGTGACGGGGGCGAGTGGCCGGCGTCGCGGAGCTTCAGTGGCGGTGTGCTCTGGCGGAGGCGGAAAAAACTGATGGAAACCCTAGGGTTTAAAAAAAAACCCCAAAATACCTGGGCCAAGGGTTTGTAAAATTAGACCGGTTTTAAATCCTAACGATTGCGAATGGAATAAAATGAGTTTTGAAAGTCGCTATCGACTCTGTAATATTCGATTTGAACAAGTCGATTAATAGATCGAAAACAATTGGTCCTAAAAGAACGAATCAAAATAATTGAACATTTTAGGTAAGGAAAGGAAATCGTATCTGTTCACTTTCTCTAATGAAATAATTATGATTGTCTTTACATGGCCAAAAAAAAGAAGCACAAATTTGGATGGATGCCATAGGTCTGAACTTACAATCCGAGAAGGTGAAAGGAGACGAGATATATAAATAAACAATGTTATTTAAAATTGTTTTTTATATAAAATTTGAATCTATAATCGTATTTCAAAGTATTAAAATTTTGACTATTCAACTCAAAGACATGATTAGTAAAGGTCTAATTATGGAGTCTTGAACCAACCCATGGTTTTAGTGATAAGTAATTTGATATAGTTTAAGTAAAGTCTCGAGTTCGAGTATTTGTGTATGCATAAAATCTCTGTTGAAAGACTCAGTTATCAAAATTAGGTGTGCGACGTTCGTCGGTTTGATTCAATCAAGACGAAGCCTTCGAACCAAAAAGACCAAAAAAAATTATGAAGTCTTGATTAGTAGGGATTGATTTTCTAAAGTAACCTAAAAGGGTCATTAAAATAATGTTGCGGTACTGGTTAGGCTTGATGGTTAAAAGAAAGGGGAAAAGGGGGGAAAAAGCGTGCACACTACTATAATTAACTGATTTTTTCGAGTAGATTTTTAAGTTTGGTTGTTTCTAATTATAGGGTAAATTACATAAGTAATTCGACTATTAAAAGTTACAAAATGATCTTTCGATTATAGAATGTTGCTTTGTTTAGTCTATCGACTATTAAAAGTTACAAACTCGTCATTTTCTATTAAAAATCGAATATCGTCTAAGTTAGACGTTAGTATGATGATTGTGATATGATAGTTGTTTGAGATTACAGGAATTGATTTTATCACATCTTAATCAGAAGGTTAACATCCAACTAGATAATTGCATTTTTTAACGGAAATGATGAGTTTTGAACATAACGAATAGTTATTTGATCATTTTATTACTTTTAATGGTTGAGGGACTTGATAGAGCAATAACTTATAGTCGGGGGACTATTTATATACTTTATCCATAACTATAACTATAATTATATTTATGTTTTTCTTTTTTAAATAAATGAGTTTATTTTATAAATATTAAATAAGTATTTTAGAGATAATATTATTGGGAGAAATCAGAAATAGAATATAATAAGGGTCGATAGGACAAACTTTCTCTCATTTGAGAAAAGTCGGAAACAATCCCTTAAAATGTTTAAAATTTTTAATTAAGCTCTCTTAAAATGTAATTTTTTATTAAATCCCTTTAAAATTTTTGAAAAATTGTCTTTAACCCTCTTAAGATTTTATTTTTTTTAAAAAGTAAACCCCAAATTTTTTTTTAAAAAAACTCATTAAATAATTTAAAATATTTGAAAACGTATAATATGACCCCAAATTTATGTTATCAAAATCTATAGTTAAAAAGAATAATCACGAATTTTGAATATGACCCGCAATAAACTTAAGATAAAGTACACAAATGATCCCCGACTATAGGGTGCAATTATATTAAGTCTATTAATTATTAAAAGTTAGAAAATGATTCTTCGACTATTGAGTGTTGCTTTGTTGAGTCTTTCGACTATCAAAAGTTTTTAAATGGTCACCCGACTATTCATTATGTTCCAAACTAATCATTTTCAGTTAAAAAATTGCGGTTATCTAAGTTGGACGCTAACATGATGACTGAGATGTGATAATCGTTTGAGATTCTGATATTAAATTTTATATATTACAGTTAGCAAGTTAACGTTCAGCTCAGAATACCATCAAATTTTTAATGAAAAAGGACGAGTTTGAAACATAATGAATAGTTGGAAGACCATTTTGTATCTTTTGATAGTTAAGTGATGAAGTTACTTATTATTGACGCATAGAGAAGAAAAAGTAATTATCTTCATTGATTGAACCTCACACAAGACTTCTATTAATACAACAAATGAAGCAGTTGCAGGCACCCCATATAACAACCCTAACTGCTTTAACAAACAAACTGCGCTATAACAAACACGAAGCTAACAACACACCTTCAGTCTTTTAATATTGAGTTACTCAATAAAGTAATACTATATAGTCAGAAGATCAATTTATAATTTTTAATAGTCGATGAACTTAATAAAGTAAAACCTTATAATCGGGGATCATTCGTGTACTTTGAACATAAACTTAATAATGGGTGGATTAATTGAGTTATGGCAATGGGTGAAAAGGGTGAACTAGTGCGCTATCCATTTTCGTTGTTTCAAACACGCCAGCATTGATGGGTGATGAAGAAGTAAGAAAAATAAGAACATTGGGCCAGACCAGAGACCACCATAAAGGTGGATTCTTGGTATGTAAGGATGGACCCACGTCCCATAACTCATCATCATCAACAAAGTGCTTGGATCTAGGACCCCGCACTAGGACCGGAATAGACCGCCCAATTTCATATCAAAAGAATCTAAGGACCTGGTTAAAAGGCAACGACTGCCTTACAAATCACCTTTTGGAAAGACAAAAAAAAAGACTTCTTCCACTTAGAAAACTATCGGTGCCAAACTCAGGCATAAGGCTTGATTTGGATAACGATTGGGTTCCATCATTATAACATAACGATCAATGCATAAGCACCCTAGCACCTGTTTTTCTTTCTGTCTTAACCTAAACCCTAAGCCAGAAACATGTGCTAGGGTGCTTACGCATTTGATTGGTAAATGCATTTCATCAATAGTACAAAAACCACATGCACCTACTAAAGGAGGCAAAGCGTAGTCACTAGTGTTAACGGTTTTACCCATGAATGGAACTTTGTGCGACTGCTCTAAAATTAAGCCACTTGCAGGCACTTCTTGGTTGAATCACTTGCTCTGAAATTGAGTGGTTACTTTTCAGGATGATTTAAACATCCAAAGTATATTGAATGGTTATCGGAAGAGAGAATATCCTAAAGCAAAAAAGAGAAGTTAAACGTGGACAAAAGGTGCGTCATTGCGCCAAACCCATTTTTGTTTGTGTTTTTTTCCCCATAAAGAAATCGGACGGGGGGCTGAAAGACACGCGTGTAGTTGTTTTCTTTTTGTTGGGAACTTTTAGAACCACAAAAATGGCCCGTAGCCCCATATCCGCAACTTGGATGGAAAAGGGCAAAGCCGATTCTCGACACGTACGTATACATGTGGCCCAGATGTCAACGACCGTGCTCGAGTAAAAACAACTGGAGCGAGAGTGCTTGAGTCTCGGTGTGACATAAAATCGAACGACTGGTGGGCGATGCCATTATATTTGAATATAATGTCAACCTGGAAGTCTAAGGTGAATCTTTCGGTGCCTGTCTATTTCATATTTGTAATGTACAAGCATGCAATGTTTACACTGCCTACTTCCCCCCCTTTCTGGCAATGGATTAGCAAATTTGGCAAAAGGAAATAGGTCAAATAAGAATTATATTAGGGATGAATATGGATTGATGGGATTGAAGTTTCAGTCGACGTAAATTTAATCCGAACATTTTTTCATCATTATCTAAATTTTTAAAAATATAATTATTGATATAATTAAATTTGATCTCGTCGGCCTTTGATAATTTATCTTTCATGATGTAGACAGATAATCGTAGTTAACGATCTCTTGTTAAAGAGTGGTGAAGATAATGTGAAGAAGAAGATGACTTTCTTAGGTGGAACCTCGGATAAAAGAAGAATAAGTTGTCCCTCAATTGAGATTGGTAAGTATTTATAGTAACTCTAATTATTGCGTGTTAATTATTTTTATTCGTAGGCTCGAATTGAACCAAACCAAACCCAGAGCCCGAATCCAAATCCCAAAACTAACATTACAAACAAACCCCATATGGCATACTAAACCAAGCCAACAACCGTTCAAGGCTAAAAATTTAGGGTAAGCTACAAATTTAGTACTTAAGATATCAATTTTGATTCATTTTAGCATCTAAACTTTCAAATTTTCAAACCCATATCCAACATTTAGTTTTTGTTTCATTTTAATACTCCCGTTAAAAACTTAACGTTAAATTTTGATTTTTTTTTTGAAAGTTTAGGTAATAAAACGGATCAAAACTGATAGTTTAGCCACTAAACACGTTAAGTTTTTAACGAATGAGTACTAAAATGAAACAAAAAAAGTTAGGTATGGTTTTGAAAATATTGAAAGTTTAGGTACTAAAATAGATTAAAGTTGATAGTTTAGGTACTAAACTTATAGTTTACCCAAATTTTAATCATAGATTTTATAATTTAATTTAGAGTATTTCATCACTCGTTTGTACAATAGAATGTTAAAGTCACGTTGCATGAGAGTGGAAATGTTGGGATGTATGAATAGGATGAATATTTAACTCGAACTTAACAGATTTTGATAAATTTAATGAAATTAATTTAAAATTTTGAATAGTAATCGAGTTGGATTGAATTTTTTAATAATAAGTCCGGATAATTTAAAATAAAAAATACTTAAATAAAATTAAATAACATGTAGATGAGTGTTATACAAAAATTGGAATAAAGTGGACTAAAAATCCAACCCGACCTATAATCATCCCGAATGACCAAATGTGTTTCTCATATGGGCCTGAAATTTTGGGCCTTCTGGTTTTTAAAAGTCATGAAAATTGAGAACCTACTAAGAAAGCCCATTTCCCACTAAAACCCTAACGCCTAGAAGGTTCCATCATCCTCCAAATCTATAATCCCCGAAGCCAGTATATCATTATATCATCAAACTCTGTTCCTCTCTCGCATTGCTGGGGAACTCTTCGAGAATTTCAGATCAATCCTGCAATGGCGAAGCGTTTGATTCCAACGCTCAACAGAGTTCTTGTCGAGAAAATCCTCCCTCCTTCCAAAACCACCGCCGGCATTCTCCTGCCGGAGAAATCAACCAAGGTACTTTCCTTTCTCTTTCGATCTCTTTTTCCGTCCCCCGTCTTAATGTAATCCAAGGATTCTGCTTCATTTGATTGGGGAAAAAACAGCTGAACTCCGGGAAAGTGGTGGCCGTGGGTCCAGGAGCAAGAGACAAGGAAGGAAAAACGATCCCAGTTTCTTTCAAAGAAGGTGACACTGTTCTTTTGCCTGAGTTTGGGGGCTCACAAGTCAAGCTTGGCGATAAAGGGTACGTTCATGAAGCTCTCTTTTATAATTTGTTTGGTTTGAAAAGTTCGTCATTATCTGTTTTTTTGCAGGTTTCATTTGTACAGAGATGAAGATATTCTGGGCACTCTCCATGATTGATTGATTGCAATGAGGCATTGGGTTTGTTTATTGTTTCTGGGTTTAATTTAGTTGGACGGAACTGATTAATCATCTTTGTTAATGGAAAGTGGACAGTTTTACTCTTAAAGATTTTTGTTTAGTTATTCTAAGATCACATTCCTTTTGGTAATGACATTGTTAGAATCTGCTTGCACTACGGATGTTTAATTGAGGATGCGATTTTGGATTGAAGTATTATTATCGAACGTGTGAAACTGATTTAATAGGGATATTATTTTATTTAACTCCATTATTTATAAACTGATTCAATAAGAATTGTTTTGTTGAGTCCTTTAATTATTAAAAGTTATAAAATGATTATTTGATTATTTAGTACATTCTAACATTAAAAGAAAATTAAAGATCATCTGAGTTGAATGTCAATATGTTTATAAGTTACAAAATAATCACTTGATTATTTAGTATGTTCTAAATTTTATTAAAAAAATTAATGATCATCTGAGTTGAATGTTAATATGTTTATTGAGATGTGATAATTGTTTGAGAATATATAAGTGAATGTTCGATTGAGTTGAGTAAAGAACTAGAGTTGGTCTTTTTTTTATAACTAGGTTGTAATTTGAATTTTTAAATTTTTATTTAAATTTAATTGTAAATATTTATAATAGTATGATATTTGATTATAATTTAAATTATTTTTTAATCATATATAATACATGTATATTCCATTAAATATATATATTTTTTATATAAGATTTACATATATTTTATAAAGTTGAGGTATTTTACTAGAATTTAAAAATCGATTTATTAATTATTGAAAATTTTGAATTATTCGAGTTGTATTTTATACTTTAATTCAAACTTGAAAATTTTTTGAGCCGAGTTTATGAAATTATAACTTGAAATCAATTCAAGTAGAGTTTTTTGAATTGAGTTGAAAAAATTGATTTTTTTTAGTGAGCTGATTTTTGCATCTTTAATTATAAAATTAAATTTTATCATATTTCAATTAGTATATTAATGTAACGAGTTTAAAAGATACTACATAATGTAGTGATTATTTTGTAATTTTTATAATAAAGGATTCAACAAAACAATTCTTTATAAACAAATGATCATTTTATAATTTTTAATAATTGAAAGGTTTAATAAAATAAATCTATAATCAAGGAATTATTTATATTTTTACTTTAAAATTTTAATTTTTCATGATTAAAATAAAAATTGAAAAATAAAAATAAAAATGAGAAAAACATAAATGATTACATTATTATTTATTTTTGAATTAATATGCTAAATTTGATTAATATTAAATTTTATAGATTTTATTGTCAATATCTTTAAACAAAATTTTAAAAATAGAAATTATACTTATAAATTTGACTAATCTCAAAAAGAAAATTATACAACCATTGACGAGTATCGATGAGTACTACAACGACGAATATCATTAATTATAATATATAATTTTAAAATTATAAAGTACTCAACGTATAATTATAAATTAGATCAAATATTAACTCCTAAATTAAGAAATCTTAAAAAAATTATAGCTTTAAAATTTCTGCCGCCATCATTGGTAAGATTTTTCGTCAGTGAGATAGTCTTTGTCGTTTATCCTCCCAATGTGATCGTCGTTCACCACTTTCACCACCGAGTCACCCTTTCTGAAGAGAAGTGCTCCGATCTCAAAAAACGTAAAACAAAAGAAGACATATAGATCTCATCAGGATGGAAAAAGAGATTAGGTCCGTAGTGGTCAAGCCCGTTTTAGACATTTTAGTGGACTGGAGCGCAAATAGAAATTAGACCCCTAATAACAAATATCGAAAAATTGAATTGTAAGATCAAACAAAACTAAATAAATTTACTTGTAAATTGTTTTTATTACGTTTAATAAACTATTTAATAAATACATTAAATTTTAAATAAAAAACATCAAAAAATTTTATTAAACACCCAACTACTCACACAAAACAATTATGATCATCTTTAAAAGGGTACATGTTAGATTGTAACATTCTTCATCTTGTCAAAAAAATAATAAAGAACAGTTAAGTGTAAAGTAAAAAAACAATTTAAAAATGTTACATCAATTTCGCCTTTAATTTTTTTAATGGTGGATAGTAAAAAAAAAATGAAACGTTAAATATAATTTTGAAAAAATAATTGAACGAAAACAGAAATAAAATAATAGACGAGTGACTAAATAAATAATTTATCATATTTTAATTATATGTGAATTTATAATTTTGGGCCCAGACAAGAGGAGCCTGGTCGAGTGCCCTTTTTGCCTTATGCTCAGGGACGGGCCTCATAGTGACACCAAGGGATTCACACTTAAAAGGCCGAGCCATTCGATATATACCTTCCCGTGCCCCGATTGCATGTCGTGCAAACGGGTTGGTAAAAGCAAGATCGCCGTCGTCTGCTATGTAATATTCCCAAAGGATTTTGATGGGAGAATGTATCTTAGGTCAAGTCGTATACAATGTTCGGATAAAAAATGCCGACGGTTTTGCCATCGGAGGAGGGATGACCCCGGAGTTAACCTGACCGGAAATCGTTTTGCGGTTTTCCCTAGCGGAATCTAACGAACTGTTAAACAACACATTGTATTCTTTTACACTTGGTATTTCATTCTTTCGTATCCATTCTTTTAATATTGTTAGGGTAAATTATGCGTTTAGTACATAACTATCAGTTTTTGTCCGTTTTAGTACCTAAACTTTCAATTCTTTTAAATCATACCTAAAGTTTAGTTTTTATTTTATTTTAATACCTTACCATTAAAAAACTGATAGTGTAGGTACTAAATGCATTGAGTTTTTAACGGTGTGTACTAAAAGGAAATGGAAACTAATCGTTAGATACAATTTTGAAAATTGAAATTTAGGTATTAAAATAGATCAAAACTGATAGTTTGTATTAAATGTGTAGTTTAACCTTTTTTTTATTAATCTAGGGTAATTACAATTGGTGGTATTTATTCTAGATACTTATAACTATTTGACAATAAACGTTTAAATACCATGCAAACGTTGGTGCTCGGATCCAAAATTTAACGTTAAGTTTTGAAAAAAAATTAAAGTTTAGGTACTAAAATGGACCAAAATTAATAGTTTAGGTACTAAACACGTGAAGTTTTAACGGTGAGGTACTAAAATGAAATAAAAACTAAATGTTAGGTGGTTTTGAAAATATGAGAGTTTAGGTATAAAACGCATCAAAATGATAGTTTAGGCACTAAATACGTTGTTTACCCTTTTTATAATTATTAGAGTTCTTCTTGTGTCTTGGGGCTTCCAACAAACGACACTTTGGATATTCCTTCATAGGTGGGCAAGTCTAATCCGTTCTTCGAAATAAAATAAGAGTATTTGATACGTACGCACTATAAGCACCAATTTACAATCCTTCTCTGTCGGAACCAAAAGCAACCGCCATGGGAATCGTCGGGAATCTCGCTCCACAGCAGCGCGAATCTTTCGACTCTCAAGGTCAACGCCACCGCTTCTTTGAACAAAACTTTTCTTTTCAAAATCCATCTGCCACTGGGTTTTTTCCCCTTAAAGTGTATGTTTTGCAGGTTTTATTGTGATGGAATCATTTGCGAGCACTGAAGAAATTGAAGCTATGAGGAAAGAATGGACGAATTGCTTCAGGGCTTTGACCCCACCACCACCGCTTCTATTTTCTCCACCAAAAATCAGGTCTTTTTCAGTTTCTTGGAGCAATTGTAATATTTTTGGAATTATAACTTTAAATTTTGATAGTTTCTCAATAGGGTTTTTTTGTCTGTAGTTGAAGTTGACCAATGAACACTTCTATGAAAGTGCTGAAAAGATCTCCTTTTTTTTGAAGGTATGCTTTCATACTTTTCCACACTCTTTTAGCTTTTCTTTTGTTTCTTTGGTCTTAATTTTATTTTGAGAGAATCAAATTACTTCGGGATATATGAACTTGCTGTTAAATTTTGAAAGTGAAAGGTATGGATGTTATGAGTTGTTTGCAAAAGCTTTAAAGGGTAAAACTTGATTCCTCATTGCTTTTACATGTAATCTATTGTATAAAGCACCTACACTTTCTCAAATGGTTATTAGTGAGTAGGGGAGTTGTTTTTGGTTACTTTGATGACTTCTATTTTTACTTTCCTTCCTTTCTTTCTTTTGTTGTTTTGGCAGAGAAAGCATTTGATGATAATGGAAATTTAAAGCAATCGAAGGAGCTTTCTATTATAAAGTTGGCATGGTATGTAATTTTGGAAACTTAATGTGTTTTCTTATGCTCTTATTTGGCATCACGCTCATGTAAATAGATTATAGGTATGTTTATTGTAGCTAATCATGGTTTTATTCGTTTGTGCAGCGCTACATGAGATTGACCTGGTTTTCAAAGAATTCTCTTGCTCTGAGAAAGTTTCAAGTTTGCTCTTCTCCTTAGGATACAAGAGGCCATGATCATGCAGTCTATGTATATTTTTAAGGTATTTAACTTGTTTCTTACTTGACAATGAAGACAATGTATACCTAATGATAACACCCTTTGCTGGTGACCTAAAAATTTCAACTCCCTAGTGATTTCAGTTGGTTCTGATTTCAGTTGTTTGAACTTAATAGTTCAACCTTAGTCGTCGTGTATTGGCTCATATAGGTTGATTCTTTTATTATATAATGTAATTCGAACATCCAGTCAATGAAACTTGTGTACTGTTAGTGGATCCTAGGTGACCTTGTTGTTACTTTGTTAATTTAGTGATATGAATTTATGTAAACTTTAGGAATTTCTATGGCAGTGAGGATCTGTTTGGTGGCTGTGTTGTTTTATTCTGGTGCTGTCTTCTCCCATTGAGTATATTCCGAAAAACAAATAAGATGATGGGAGTGGTTAATCGAATAATTTTGTTATCTTTATTTGAAAGATGTAACACTTTGTTCTTATGATGGCAGATTATTTTGATGCTTTACTTCTTTCTCTCCAAATGAAATGCAACCTTCTGTATCTCTTGCAAACAGAACACACACTGCCATTCCTGTTAATAGATGAAGATTTGAATGCTGTGGTTTGTAATCAAGTTTGAATCTTATCCCGTCTGAATGGATTTTGTTGAATACTGAACTTCGAGGAGTTGTACTTATATGTGATCCATTTTGACAGCAACCGGGTATAGGTGGTGAAGTAACTCCTCACCAGGACAACTCATTTCTTTATACTGAGCCTAAAACTTGCACTGGTCTGTGGCTCGCTCTAGAGGATGCAACAGTTGTTAACGCTGCCTTTGGGCCATTCCTGAATCTCAAAAAAGTATCCTTTTTTACTTTACCCTGCCTGCAACCTTTTAAAGTATATAAACGATGCTTATTTTGATCTGCTCTGTTTTTCTGTTTCCAGATGGTCTTGTAAGAAGGTTCATCAGGGGTGAAGATGGAGTTTTCTTTGATAGGCCCTCACAATCGTATGACCAGAAAGATTTTGTGCCTATTGAAGTGAAAGCCGGGTCTTTGTCGTAATTCACGGTGATCTTTTCATCAAAGGTTAGTTCAAAGAATTATATCCAGAGTTCATCCAGCTTAATGGCCTAATGGCTAACCGTTTGCGACTTTTTGTTTATGCTGGTACTATATCTTGAAAATCAATCTACAAGTCGCGGCATGCATACAGCTTGCATGTGGTAGATACTGATGGCTGCAAGTGGGCAGAAGATAACTGGTAAGTAATTAGATCATTTATGTGTATCTTCACCAAATTTTGAGATGGTTCATCTTTTCATGCACCACAGTTCCATTCATTCTTTAAAGGATTAACATAGTATCTTTCCCAAGGTGCTGATAATAAACATTTTCCTTTTATCTGACTAATCTTATTTATCTAGATGATGTAATCATAGGTAATTTGACTGTCTCAGTGTTGATTGATGCTATGCTATAGCACCAGCGACAATTTTCCTCGTCGTATTGATATGCTAGGGTAACGTGTAAAAACTATTAGCTTTGTATTTGTGTGAAGTGTATCCTCATAGGGAAAACAATATTCCGATTCAAAATGGTAATTAATGTAGTCGCCTCCCGTCACCATCCATCATAGGCCAGATTTAGCGAATATCTAGTTCATCTGACAATTCCTGGTCTGTGAATTCTTGATCTTTTCACCTTTTCAGGATCCGAAGAAAAGTCGAGCCAGAGCCCCTTTACACTTGATCAAACTCAGGAGTTCGTCCCCCGAAATTCGCTGGCAGCAGCCTCAGCTTGGCAGGGGATGGAGGAATGAAGGTTAAGGAAGCAGGGAAGAAAAGGCATGAAGCTTTCATATGCCTATGAGAAAAATATTCAAACTCTTGTTGGAATATGTACATTATTGGATAATGCTTATTGTTTTGTTATTTGGACGTATCAGATAAATACGTAACGGACATGACAATTTCAAACAATAAAGTTCGCTCACCATATATTTACTGAAAACTCAAATTTGCATCTAACGTGCAAAAACTTGATTTCAGTGCTATAGAGATGGAAAATAATTGAACGTAAAAGCAAGGCAATGCATGCATATTTCTTCAAAATCAAAGCTATACTAATAAATGTAAAGAGGGTATGGACTTGAAAGAAAAAACATAAAAAGGCTATGGATCTGATCTGAATGCTGAGATATGGGAGTTAAAAGGGATATATAATTTTCCCAAAAGAGATTGGAGCTTTCTTCTTTATTGAAGGATGGGTCTACTACCACTACTACTCTATCTATGCAAACTGATTTGAGGGAATCCCACAACATCACCCCCTCAACTGTTCCACTCAGCTAAATTTTCCCATCTTTTTTTTTCTGAACTTCATGGTGTGAGAGATTGTGTTTGTCCTCATGACTGCAAAATAAATAAAATCAGAGGAAAAAGAAACACAAGGACAATCCCCTTAGCTTCCCATTTTTGGCCATCTCCAATTAATGCTGGCCTCTCCCAGACCTTCATTGGATTTTTTCTCGGCAATACGCGCTTTCTTCCTCAGTTTCTTGCATATTTTTTTTATCTGCTTGTTTCATGTCCTGCATGCAGAAGTTTCAGTGACAAAGTCTCAATTGGCCCTTTTATCGTATGCAAAGACCAAGGGAGTTTTTCTTGACATTTTTATGTTCTAATTAAAGCTTATGTTGTGGTGATTGAATGAATGTCTGGGTATTTCAAGTGGCGAAAGGACAAAAAAAAAACAGGTGTATCGTCAAGTTCAACTATTGCTTCTCTTTTTCACCTTCTGTGGTAAAAAGAACATGATCACCAAATAACTATGATTCTACCGTGTAATATCGAAAACTCGAATCGAGTCGAATTTAGTTATTTCTCCTGGGAATATATGGGAATTGAACATACATGAGAAAAACAAAAATTATCACTGACATTTACCTGGAAAACCCTCACCAGATATATGCAGTTCAAGTTTCGAATCGAGTCGAATTTTAGTTATTTCTCCTGGGAATATATGGGAATTGAACATACATGAGAAAAACAAAAATTATCACTGACATTTACCTGAAAACCCTCACCAGATATATGCAGTTCAAGTTTTGGGTCACTTTTACATCAAAGCTCTTTTCATATCTTTCTCTTGTCCTATGTCTCCCCCATTCTATTTCATTTTTGTAATTGTTCATGTAAAATGGACATAATGTCAACAAAGAAATTAAAAACCTGCATTTGCATTGTTTAAAGGGTAAAGAAAAAATGAAAGGAGGCTCTTTCCTTGGGTTTGCCCAGCATGGTCCAATATGTGTTTTAAGGCAAAACTCCCAAAGATTAACTACATGTCCTTGTCTTCACAGTTGCACCATGCGTGACAGACACAGCATGAAACAGTCCCTAGTTTGTCACAAAAAAACAAAACTAACGACAGGCTTAACTTTTAACACCTTTCTTAACTCAAATGGCAAAACTAGTATTTAATTTCTGCATATCTGTTGCCCACATGCTGAGCTTTAGCTAATAGATACCCACCGGCCACCACCTCCCCGTTTTCTTGTTCAGTTCTTCAGAGGAAGAAACTCGAAATATCGTGGTGTTGTTGTTGTGATGGGAACTTCTTGGTGGGTGTCTTTGTTGCTGATATTAATGCCGGCTCCAAGGGGAAACAGCTCGAGGGTCTGGTCTTGTCTGTTGTCTTCTTCGGGAGTGATGTTCTTTTCTTGGTAGGGTTTCAATGGACATGAATTTCCAGTGTCTGATGATGAAGCTGTTCCCGAACAAGACAGCTCCAAGCGTAGTTCCTTGTCGTGAATTTGCATCCACTTGTTTCCTCCACTTTCTGTAATTCCACGTGTATCTAAAGGTTTACCTGATGATCCCTTCTTCTCCACGCTATCGGCGGGATGATGATACTGTTGTTGTTGATCGGGAGTCATGTTGAGTTGACGGCGGCGTCTTTGACGTTCTCTTGCTTTATGGTTCTGGAACCAGTAGAAAACGTTCTTCCCTTCGATCTTACCGAACTCTGAAGCAGCGCCGCTATTTGTTGAATTTGCGCGGTGGACGGCGTCCGTGTGCCGCGTCGATAGAGCTCCTCGAGCGTCAGTAACTGCTCCGGCGTCGGATTCCAACGTGAACTCCCTGATGGCTGTTGACTTCCCTCGTTTGCATTGCCCACTGTATCACCTACAAGAAATCATATATATCCACAAACAAACACACACACGCACACACGCATTTATCAGTGTAAACAACAAGAAATAATAAATGAAAAGTTGGAAGAAAAAGATGGGGTTTACCGAAATCTCCATGATTGAAAGGCAAAAGGTTGGTGGGGTTAGTAGGGTTTAGAATCAAAGGTGAAGCCTTTGCGTTGTTGAATGAAAGAGATAAGTTCAGATCAATGATATGAGGGTATCCCATTTTCTTTGAAGAAGCAACAAAGCACAGATTACTGGGTTTTTGTCGTTGTTGTTGTGAAGTTTGTATATATATATATATATATATATATATATATATATATATATATATATATATATATAAATATAAATACTTATCTGTAACATATACTCGCTTTGTCTATCCCTAGAGCGTAGTCACGTAAGAGAAGATTGAGGTAAAAAGGAAAAAGTAAACATGCATGGTTTCTTAAATATTAGGTAAAAATCAGTTTGTTTAGTAAAATAAGATTTTAGATTTTTTAAGCATCAGAGATTTGAAGAGCAATTTGATTTGAGAGGATTATACTATAACAAATCTATCTAATGATTCGAATTAATTAATGAATAGATTATATACATGTAATTATATTAAAACATAGATTAAAGTCATGCCAAAGAACATATCATCATTCATTAACATTCAACAGAGGCTCGTCAACATTCTAAAAATCAGAAGCAAACACATAAATGGGTTCTCAAAACACAATCAAAAGAGAGAACATTCACACTAGAAAAGAACTGTGAATTAAGTGAGAACAAAACATTGGGTCTGATTTCCTTAAGCCTTTTGATTAAAGTCTGAACCCATCATGCTCGGTTAGAAAATAGAAGCCTGGGCTGGACATATGGCTCGTGGGCTATCTTTCAACAACCATTGGGTCTGATTCCTTGAGCCTTTTGGTTCATTTCCAACACACTATCTAGACATATATGCAATACAGAGACAATGACGATTTTGTTGGTGTAGTTGAGAGCTTCAAGCTTTGAATATATTCCCGCAGATAACAGCAATTAATACCTTACAGTCCCACCTCATTAAGTTTTAAATACAGATTTAGTATATAAATAAGGTTCCACGATTCAAGGTCCAACCTCATGTTTAACACAACCAAAACCCAGACATCTAAACCTTCTTCCTTCTGTTTCCCCTCTCAGTTCTCTCAAATCCCCGTACTCAAAAACCCTGTTAACATAAACCCAGTTTTCTATCTGGTTTAACAGATTCATAGCCAAATGAGGGCTTTCAGAGGAGTGAAAACAAGTAATGGAGGTAGTAGAGCTGCAGTTTTCTTCTTCTGGACTATCTTAATTTGTTCTCAGTTGGGTCAGCATCTTGCTGTTCATGAAGACACAAGTGGTACTCATCAGCAATCTTTTAAAGTCCCCCAAGGAAAGCTAGGTTCAATTTCGACAGTAGTGCATATTTTCACGGCCCTCCATCATCAAGCTCACCTTATCAGTTTGCTGGAAATGAAGATGATAAGAGGATAGTCCATACAGGTCCAAATCCTCTTCACAACTAGTGACAACATAATGAAGAACATGTTTTTAGATGTTCATTAATGTTCGAATTCAAGCATGAGCATTGACTTTAGCCTTTTCAGTTATGTTTAAATGAGGAAGGGGAAGACAAGGGGAAAGGCTAGTGTAAATGCTCTTGTTTCTTTTTCCTGTGTTCTTTAATTCTTCTTCTGCTGTAGTATTGCTGTTGTGTTAATGTTAACAATTAAATTGTATTGTTTTTGAATTATAATAGTGAAATATCTACTTTGCTCTCTTCAGTAATTGTTTTGTGTGCCCATAACTTTCGGTTAACATAATATACATAAAGGTAAATTACGTGTTTAGTACTTAAACTATCAATTTTTATCCATTTTAATACTTAAACTTTTATTTTTTAAAAAAAATTTAACTTAAAAGTTTAGTTTTTATTTCATTTTATTATCTCTCTTCAAAATTTAACGCTAAGTTTTTTTTAAAAAAAAGGTTAGCTACTAAAACGGATCAAAAGTTATAGTTTAGGTACTAAACACTTTTAGTTTTTAACAACATATACTAAAATGAAATAAAAACTAAATATTAGGTATAATTTTGAAAAAAAATAATAGTTTAGATACTAAGATGAACCAAAACTGATAGTTTATGTACTAAATATGTAATTTACCTTAAACAATAATATTAGATATATATAATTCATTCAACAAAATATTGGACGTAGAATTGATCAAATTAAATACCTAATTGATCCATATAGCATAGGAAAACTCTGATATTAATATTTATATATCATTTTATCATTTTTAATCGTTATAGTACTTTTAAATTTATTGAGTGGTCTTAATAATCGAAAAGAGTGTTATTTTTCTTTAATGTCCAAGGTTCATATGATCGTATTTACAAGACGTATATACATTATTAATAATTAAAAAAAATTAAAATATTATCCTATAATCATCACGAGCTATTAAAAAAAAATTATTAGTCTTTTCAGATTTTTAATTTTTTTTTTATTATAACCCAAACGATTAATGAGTTAGAATCTACCATTACTCCTTATATTATAGGGACATAGCTAGAGGGCAGAGTTTGGGGCTTTAGCTCCCACAAAGTGAAGAAATATAGTTTTAGTCCCTTTAAAATTGTAAAAGTGTAAGTTAGCTATTTTGACCATGAAACAGTAATTTTTTTAATCCCTTAAAAAATTATAAAGTTATAAGCTAATGTTATTTTAAAATTACATTTTCGACACTGAAAAAAATATAATTCAATTTTGGCCCATATTATATTACGTGTAAGTTGTAAATATAGTTATTGTTCTCTAATCGTGTTTAATCTCAATAATTTAGTTACATAATTCATGTATTATTTAGAGTCAAGATTAAAATTTTAAAATTCGAAAAATATAAGGATTGAAATTATCCGAAGCATACCACGCTGGCTACATCCAAAACTTATATATACACAAAGGGTAAATTATAAATTTCACCATTCAATTTTCTTCTTATTCCTATTTTAGTCACTTGATTGGACATTTTAAAAAATATGAAATGATCCCAAATTTTTCCTCATCTTTTGGTGAAAAAAAATGTTAACTTTAGATGAAGCGTCTTTTTTAAAATTCCAATGATGAGGAGGTGGAGAATGAGTAAGTGAGTTGTTTATCTTGATTCCACATTTATCGAACGATGAATATTATAGATTAGAGTGTTTTAGAATTTCACGAGTTTTGGGTTTAGATTGAACTTTATGAGTTTTAAAGTGATTAGGTAAAATCTAAACTTATAGAGTCGTAGGAGACAATGAGACGAGTTCGTCGACATCTTGAATGATCAGAGAAGATGATGAAAATGGTAATTGCAGCATCGGTGTGAGAAATGAAAGAAATTGTATAACTTCCATCTTTGGTGGAAGAAGATGAAATCAATAAAAAATCAGTCTACATCAGCAAAGGTTACTATCAAGTCACTCTTCCATTTATGATTTAGCATCTGAGTAACCAAAATACGAATAAATCAAAAGTTTAATAAGTTAATTTTTTTAAACTTCAATAACCAAAACAAGAATAAGACGAAAGTAAAGCGATGAAATTTGTAATTTACCCTAACAAAAATTCGACCAATATATATTATGTGAATGAGACAGACCAAAACCAGTGTTATTTTGACTCTGCCAACAACATTAATGCTCCAAAAAGACAAATAAACAAGTTGAAGCTGAAAGAATTCTGACACTTATTCTATAATTAGGGTTCTTAGCACAGGGTGTTTAGGTTAAATTGCAGAACTCATAAAGTGTATCATGCAAGTTAAAAATTCTTGACAATACATGATATTAAATTCCGATAAATTCTAGTTATTAGTTAATGATCACCCTCATCAACATGATACAACTATTATACATAAATCATGACCATGAATTATGGGGTGATGATCATCAATGAAGATAGAGAACGGGAGTGAAAAAGAGGTGATAGGACGGCTCATAAGATGGCCACGTCGCTCGTTTAGAGGAATTCTAGGGTTTAAGTTGATTGGATTCTTAATAGTATTCCTAGAAATGGCAGCCATGCATGTCTGGTTTTATCGACTTGAATGCACATCAGGGCCAACACGCTTTCTCAAAACACATTGGACACTGTACCCTCACAGCACGTTATTAATTGCCTTAAAAACCATTTGGTGTAATTTAATACCATGTACAAATAAGAGTGTTCTCTTGTTGCAGGGATAGGGTGTCCTTGCAAAGAATTTGATTAAATATTATTTATTATTCCAAATATAATTATTTGACACAAAGAATATAAAATAATCCCTATGAAATGAATGTTTGCTTGGGAGGCATTATAGAGGGAAGTGGCATTTAAGATGGTGTGTTAATAAATTCATCTCTCTTCCCTTAACTTCCACCCACCTATTTGCTCTTCTCGATAGATTCAACTTTATTTTTATTCAAATAATGGGCTCACGAGTGAAAATAATGTTTATGATTCAAGCTTTATTTAAATTGATATAAAAGATTTTTGTTGTGACTCGTTTAACGAAAATAACAGGGTGGTTCAAATGATAAGTAATTTGATATCATTTAAGCATGTCTCGAATTTGAGTTATAGTGTATGCAGAAAATTTTCACCGAGAAACTCATCCATCAGAACCAGGTGTATTACCCGAGTTTATTCGAATTAGTCAAGATAAAGCTTTATAATCTGAAAGGAGAAAAAAATAAATCATTAATGTAATTAACCTATATTGAGGCCTATCTCTCCAAACCAACAAACAGCCAAGCTATAAAATGAAATACAAAAAGATTTGCTGTATCAAACTTTTAAAGAGAAATAATATTTTCCTTCAAGTTTCAATTTTCAGCATTTTCATTGACTGATGCATTGACCGAGAATGTGTAATTCATTCAATGTGTCTGCATGTGTCGCAGCCTTTTAATGTCTGAAAATAATCTGGTTTATGCACTTAATTTGGACAGAAGTAGGAGGAAAAAAAAAACCATAAACATATTGAAGCATTGGATTTGGAAGACTTACACGGGCATCTCTATATCTTGCAATTAAGGTGGAACATCGAGTGACAGGACAGATGATGCAAATTGGAAACTAGGAAAGCTGTTAAATTCTCTTACAGGACATGACAGATTCTATATCACTGTGCCTGTCTCAGGACATTGCTGAAAAGGTGTTTGGTTATACCGGAA